ACCGGTCCGCTGCGCACGAAGGACTATGAGCTACAGGCGTTTGCTCGTACGAACCGAGAGGGAAATATGCTGCGCTTGCATCACTGGCTGTACCTTACGGACGACAACCCTGCTGATAGGCTTATCATTGCGAGACAGGCCAACATGCGGGTTGCTAGCAATCCGTTTGATATGCGGGACGAGTTTAGGGTTGAGAAAGAGGATGGCGAATAGGAGCCTTCGCATGACCCATATGGCTGTTTTCTTTTCTTTTCTTTTTTCCCTTTCAGGATAATGGTATGTATGGGAAGGGGACACTACAGCGTTTTGGCATTGACAGATCATAGGAGCATTTGGATAGAGGGACGGCGTCCTTTGGATGAGAGTCTAGACAGATTGAATAACACCAGACATCTCCTTTATTAACGTGCACCGCCGTGAACCCCCTGTGATATACAGTAGTAAGCTAAAAGCACCATCGACAGAGACAACTGTTAACGACCACCATCACATGCATGAACAACACAGCTCGGCTTTGAACTTACCCCTGCCAATGTGCTCCATTCACTCCATTTCAGAGCCTCTCAACAGCTCATTCCACGTGAATAGGACATGATGCCCACCAGCAGACAGTCACAAGTAACCCAGATCTCCAAACCCAGCATAACACAATCGGCACAAAGGCCAACAGAACCCACCACATCTCAAACGTAAGCCGGATATGTAGCCAGCGCTTGAGTCTGGAGCCCAGCTTCCTCCGCTGCGGACACGTGCTGGTGCCGTAGATGAGACAGCCCAGTCCAGGACGCGACTCGCACTCGATGTGCTCCCTTCGCCTTTCCATGAGCAGCCTAATAATTCCCAAGTCAGTCCATTTCATCCACAAGATTTGAGACAGTTGCGAAGGATAACAAACCTGACGCTCCCCCGACAAAACCTCAAGTCGCTCCCCAGGTCGCACCGCTGGTTGTTCGGACACTCGAGGTGCAGACGGCGGCGCTCGACGAGCCAGTCGATCTTGAGCTTGACGCCCGTGTCGACGAGGTAGTAGAAGTAGCGGTTCACGTGGCGGAGGGAGAGGGCGTCTGGGTAGATGAGCTGGCTGCTGATGAGGAGGTGGATTTCGGGCGGGAGGTCCATGAGGGAGAGGGGACGGATTGTGGTGTGGTCGTCTTGGGGTGATGAAGGAGAGGCGGCTGGGTCTGCTGCCGTACCGTCGTCAGACTTGGTTGAACCCAGACGGAGACGGCGGATGAGGGAGGCCATCTCGTTAGAATTGCTGAGCTCGTCGCTGGAAAACTAAGAGATGTGTACGGCTGTTTGATGCCGAGTGAGGATAAGCTAGGTCTACTGGATTATACGAAAATGGGTGAAGTGATGAGAAGAGTACAAGACAGAGCAAAGAGAGGTGGACGACATCTGTACTTCTACTGAGCTGCTGCCTTGAGAAAATAACCGCGAGGAACACGATGTCAACTTTACGGAGGGTCGAATGATGGCGGTGGCGTTGCGGACATGGCGACCCCTGAATTGACAAGCACTTCAGCCCATTGGCGACAGATTTGGATGCTCTCGCCAGGCACCAGAATAACTTTTGGTCGCGTGACTGTCTTAGTTGGAAAAGAAAAGGGACAACTCCATCAGGGTAGTTACACAATGTAGAGGCCTGAGTCAAATTCAGATCTTAGTTGCAAATGGTACTATAAAGCGGCTTCACCTTTGTGACGGAAGAATCTCACAAAGTAAACGAGAAGGAACATAAAGGTATCTTTGTAGCGAGTCACGTGAACTCCTGTCGCGTTCGCTACCCCGCAATTTGGCTTCTCCATCAACGCGTCAACGAGTGAGGTTGCCTAAGGTAGACTTGACTTCTCCATGATCACCACGAAATAGGCCGAGCTTCCTCGTTCCACCTTTGCTTCTCCAGTATGCTCGCCTCACAGTCTCAACACCCTCACTCTTGCTAAGATGGTTGCAAAGCTGGCCTCCAAATACCAGTATACTTACAGTAGCGACACAGATTCTAGCAGCGACTACGGCTTCGATCTAACAGCCGAGGAGGAGGACCTGCTCGAAACCCTTGTCGCTGATGCTTCATCTAAACCTCAGGGCGCCATATTTAACCCATTTGGAGGCTCTGGCGGTTCTCAAGCTCCTGCTGCTGCGTTATCTCTGAGATCCGACATAGCAGCTGCCTTTGCCACCCACCGGAGCGTCAAGTCACTCCACAACTCCGAAATCAACTTCAACGTTCGAGAAGTCCTCCAGGATCCAGGCTTCACATATCGCGATGATCCGTCGCTATTATCAGGTTTGGCTACCTCTGTCGCCGACCCGATGCCGGGTGTGGACGAGGATGACGCCGACGACGAGATTACGGCCATTGTTGGAGAGCCAGAGCGTCGCATGCCACAACCAGTCCAGGTTGGCGACATCCGGTACCCGGACTGTGAGTGAAAACCTCGGTTTTGTTGCCAGTCGAGGATAGGTCTGACTGACTCTAGCGTCTAGTGAGCCGTGCCTTGTCCAACGCATTCGAAAAGCCCGACAACCAAGCCCCTGAGAATAACGCGAGCGTCGACCAAGGACGCGAGAGGCTGTCGCCGCTAGTTCGCTTCCGCAGCTTCCCGAAGAAGCCATTTTCTGTCTCCGACCTGATCGCCGGCGCTTGGTGCGAGCTGCAATATTATTACACCCTCTCGAAACTCCCTGGAGGGAAGAAAACTAGAACCGCGGCAATGAAGGGCGGTTCCAAAGTACACCAGAAACTTGAGGACGAGATCTATACGACAGTCACAATCGAAATCACCAAGAAGGAGGACGCCTTCGGCTTGAAGCTTTGGAATTTAATACAAGGTCTGCGCACACTGCGAGAGAAGGGCATGACCAGAGAGCTCGAAGTATGGGGACTTGTCGACGGGCACATCGTAAACGGGGTGATAGACAACCTCAGCTACGAGAACCCGGATCCAGAGTTCGAGGAGGAGGTCAGAAGCAGCCAAGGCAGTCAGGTACCGTCCAAGGACAATTTGAGCGATCGGAAAATCACCACATTCTTCCACTCGTCATCAAAGCCGCAGAACAGACAAGTATTCATCACGGACGTCAAGACCCGTGCTTCACGCCACATACCTTCCGGTGCGGCCCTGCGCCCGACAACGATTCAGCTTTTTCTTTATCACCGTTTCCTCTCCGAGATGGCCGCTGGTCGGCTTGACTTCTTACGCGTCCTGCGTCGCTACGGCCTTGAACCAGACGAGCCGTTCTCTGACATCTTCGTCGCCCAAATCGGGAGCTTACACGACGAGATATTTGAAGATGCCATCGACGACTCGGTCGCTTTGACAGAGCCACCGTCCTCGAGTCCTCAGCCCGCCTCTCCAACCCCGGATCTGATCCGGTACCGAACCCTCAGACAACTGATATCCCTTCTAGAAAGCGAGCTGCGCCTCACGTTCCCCGACGGAGCGGATTCCCTCGGCTCGCTGGTCAACGTCGAGTACCGCAAACGGGCGAGGCGGACCGCCGACGGAGCAGAAGATCCGGACGACGACGAAGCCGGGACCCTCTTGGGATCGAACGTGCTCTTTGTCGATCCGAAAGCTCTCGACCTCTATCTCCAGGAGGACTTGGAGTGGTGGGAGGGGACGCGGCCGCCCAACGGCGTCGAGATCGAAGAGACGTACAAGTGCCGGAGCTGCGAGTTCGCGGATGACTGCGAGTGGCGGCAGAAGCAGGACGCCGACATACTCCAGGCGGCGAAGAAGAGGGTCGCTGGGAGGAGGAAAAAGGCGGCGAGCTAGTCTGCAGTGTCTCTGCAGATGGAATGGCATCGCGCGGATTGGATTCAACATAACCTCTTGCATGGGATATGTGAGGACTTGATGTTACTGTTGGCCTGGGTAGCACAAGAATCCTATGCGGACAATAGGAGGGGCATGCGTATGAAAGGCGTGGGAGAGAAACCTCTTATTCACAGCGTCGAATCCGGGCCGTATCTGTTCTGTCACCTCTCCAGTTCGGACGGTCGCCAGATCAGCCCGTCACCGTACCAGTCTGTTGCCGCGTCGCATTCTTCCGCATCACAGCTTCACCGCATCCTTGCTTGTCAATATGGACTCAGATCCACGCCGCCTCCCCATTAAAGGCTTCCAGCTCAAGAGGACGATATTCTCGACACCGGTCTCTATCTGGACATTCTTAGCCGCTTTCGCCTCCACTAGATTAACGGCCTCGCTCCTCAGACCGTATTCCGGCCGCCCGAGTGTCCCGATGGATTGCCAGAGAATTTGCGCGTGATCTCGACGGACAACTCTTCGGGCGTCGCACAATCGGCTTTAAAACATTGAAGTGTCGTACGCGGTATCGACAGCTCTCTGTATCTGGAACGGCTGACGGAGAGAAGGTCCTCAGCTGTAAGGGGGTGGCGGAAGCTTCAGCTCAGCAGACAGTACATCCCCGTTAGAGTCCATATGGCAGGCCGGGACAGATCCCGGTTTGCTTTACACTCGTCAGGGATTCTTGGAGATCCATATCCATTGGTGTGAGGTAGCGCAGAAGCTTTGGAGGGTCAATGGGCCGAATTGCATTGGACATACTAGGACTAAAAAAGCCTGAAGTCCGAGATGACCTTGCGCCACATGAACAAGACAAGAGGAAGTTGGAGCAGCTCAATGAACTGGGAAGGTTCTACCCACTTTTTACAACGTCGCAGAACTTAGGGATATTTGCATATTTTACTGGACGACAGGTAACAGAATAGACGTATAGAGATGGGCTGCTTCAAGCTTGGGAAGAATTGCAGTCTTGGAACCGTAATGTCCTCTTTTCGCACATACCTCTAAGCTTGATTGACTCGCGAGCTTCCAGTCTACCCTCTTTTGCCCCTGACTTCCGTGCTAAGTTGAGCTGCATGGTCCACGGCTCCGCAACCAGATCCACTAAGCTGCCTTTCGTCGCCGCAGCCATATAGCCCGGAAATTAATGTCACACACCATCGCCCGCTACTAAAGCGGTTCGAATCCTCCATAGCTCAGTTGGCTAGAGCGTCTGACTGTTACTCCTTACTTGGGAACTGATATCAGGAGGTCCACAGTTCAAACCTGTGTGGGGGAGATTTTTTGGACCTTTTGCCTCCAAATTCTCGCGTGTCTGGGAGGTCTCGAGGTCTAAAGCGATGATGGGAATGTTCTTTTTTTTTTTTTGGTTGTCATTTGTATGTTATTCGAGTTCCTTTCTTCCCTTCGTACAAATCTGTGCTGTTGGCCTCCCCAACACAAGATTCAACTATGGACCTTTACCTTTTTGCGACAGAGTTAGGCAGAAATTGGAAAACGGAGGGGGGCAGGAATATGGAAGAGCAACATCGCTGCAACTTCAACAATCTTGCACCCTTCGACATCAAGTCCTATTTACCTTACGCATATGCATTGCGCGAATCTCGCTACACGGATCCATCTCGGTGGTTGTTTAGAAAATCACGTCCCCTGACAATCTACAGTGACATGTCTCCCATATCCTCGTCGTACATTCTCTCCTGATCGAAACGTCGCCTGCCATTTCCACGCTTCTCAGCCACGTCTTCGATTTCGAGCATGACTTTGGATGACGTCGACCGCAACCTTGGGTTGCTTCAACAACGCCTGGACAGGCAAGTGCTTACCCAGTGCTGCTGGGAGCCGGCACCTGACCGCACTCATAACCGGGAGAGACTGCAGATACGGGGGTCTCCAGGTGGCATTTAATAACCGGGATCCCCCAAAGAAGCAGCTCACTCCCGCGAACAACCCGGGTTAACATCACGATCGGCAAATCTCCAGCAATGGAACGTGATGTTATAGCGAAGCACTTTGGAGCCGCTGCAAGGCACATGCTGTGCCGCTGTTCCATGGTCCACTGCAGCATATTGATGATGATTGGAGCAGATAAGAAGGGAGCTCTCCGAGCTATGTCGCATGATGGATGAAGCTATCTACGGCTTCCCGCCTGCATTTCCTGGAAAACAGCGGGCGGATACTTATCCAGGACGCGTGCGCATCGTGCCATTGTCAGTTGTTGTCCGTCACGACTTACCTCGGGCCCCCTCTGCCTCAAAGGTTCCAATGGCACGCTTCCTCGCTTTAAGCGGTCTCCTGAGTCTTGCTCTGAGCGACAGCACGACCTTCGATCCCCTGATCTATGTCGACCCGCTTATCGGCGCCAGTAACGGTGGCAATGTCTTTCCAGGCGCCTCCCTCCCGTACGGCATGGCGAAAGCCGTGGCGGATACTAACAGCGGCAGCAACCAGGGTGGCTTTACCTTGGACGGTGCCAATGTGACCGGCTTCAGCGTCATGCATGACAGCGGTACAGGAGGAAGCCCGAGTCTAGGAAATTTCCCACTGTTCCCATACACAAGCTGTCCCGGCGGCGACGTCAACCAGTGTGTCTTCCCGAAGAAGAGTCGCGCCCAGTTCGGTGCCTTTGGCAACGACAGTGTTTCCGCGAAACCCGGAGCCTTCGGCATCTCCCTGAACAGTGGTATCCGAGCGGACATGACCACGACACAGCACACGGCGCTTTTTAAGTTCACATTTCCTGCCAATGGTGCTGACGGACAGCTCGCGCAGCCGCTGATACTGCAGGACTTATCGGATCTGGCAGATTCGAGACAGGATAACGCTACCATATCAGTCGATGGCGAGAGCGGGCGCATTACGGGTAACGCGAGATTTCTTCCCAGCTTCGGGAGCGGGAACTTTGTGCTGTACTTCTGCACCGACTTTGCGGGCGCGGACGTACTTGACAACGGCATCTTTGCCAACAGTCGCGCCAGCACGGCGGTCAAAGATCTCAAGATCTCGCGATCGATCAACGGATACCCGCTACCTGGCGGCGCCTTCGTCAGGTTCAAGTCCGCAGACGATCCAATATTGGTGCGGGTGGCTACCAGTTTTATCAGCGTTGCACAGGCTTGTTCCCATGCGGAGGTCGAGATACCGGATTTTGACTATGACGCAGTCGTTGCGGCCGCGACTGATGCGTGGAGAAAGAAGCTCAGTCCGATAATCGTGGCGACAGAAGGAGTAAACCAGTCGCTCGTGACCAACTTCTATAGCGGCATCTACCGGACCATGATCAACCCGCAGAATTACACTGGCGAGAATCCCCTATGGTCGAGCAGTGAGCCCTACTTTGACTCGTTCTATTGGTAGGCGCGTGGAACACTATCAGACATCTGTGCAAACGGCTAACCGTGGGCAAATATAGTCTATGGGACTCATTTCGCTCTCAGATTCCGTTTCTTACCATTCTTGACCCATCCGCAGTTGCTCAGATGATTCGCTCTCTGATAGACACGTACGTGCATCAGGGGTGGCTCCCGGACTGCCACATGAGCTTGTGCAAAGGCTACACGCAGGTGACTATGCCGATTGCCCACGATAGAGACAGACCGCTGGCTAACTCCCTCAAGGGTGGTTCGAACGCAGATAACGTGCTCGCGGACGCATTCGTGAAGGGCATCAAGGAGGGGATTGATGTAGGCACTCGACCATAACAAGACTTGTATCATGCTAACTTTCCGCTAGTGGGACACTGGTTACGAAGCAGTAGTGAAAGACGCCGAGGTCGAACCGTACGACTGGTCGAACGAAGGCAGAGGCGGTCTCGATAGCTGGAAAGCGTTGGGATACGTTCCAGTGCAGGACTTTGACTACAAGGGCTTCGGAACGATGACTCGGAGCATTTCACGGACGCTCGAGTACAGCTACAACGACTTCTGCATCTCTCAGATGGCCGAGCGATTAGGCCACACGGCCGACGTGGAGAAATACACGACGTCTAGCGGCAACTGGCAAAATCTGTATAAGGCAGACGAGCCGTCGGCGTTCTGGAACGGGACAGACACCGGCTTTGTGGGCTTCTTTGAGCCGCGGTTCTTGAACAAAACGTGGGCGTACCAGAACCCATTGAACTGTAGCAACCTCGACAACTTCAGTGTCTGCTCATTGCAGAACACTGGACGGGAGACATTTGAGAGCAGTATCTGGGAGTACGGATTGTGAGTCTGACCGCCTTTAACAGTTCTAGCTCCAGAGCGCTGATCTGTGTAGCTTCGTCCCTCACGACCAAGCAACGCTCATGACCCTCTACGGCGGACCATCCGCCTTTGTCCGCAGGCTGGACTACCTGCACGACCAGAACATAACCTACATTGGCAACGAGCCTGCCTTCCTGACCGTCTTCCAGTACCACTACGCCGGCCGTCCAGCACTGTCAGCCAAGCGGGCGCACTTCTACATCCCAGCCTTCTTCGCGCCCACACCCGACGGCCTTCCAGGCAACGACGACAGCGGCGCAATGGGATCCTTCCTCGCCTTCGCCATGATGGGGCTCTTCCCCAACCCGGGACAGGACGTCTACCTCGTCACCCCGCCGTTCTTCGAGAGCGTCAACGTCACGCACCCGCTGACGGGGAAGACGGCGAGCATACGCAACGTCAACTTCGACCCGAGCTACCAGAACATCTACATCCAGAGCGCGACGCTGGATGGCGCGGATTACAGGAAGAACTGGGTCGATCACAGCTTCTTCACCGAAGGCAAGGAGCTCGTGCTGACGCTGGGGAGGAACGAGAGCAGCTGGGGTACCAGGGTGCAGGATCTGCCGCCCAGCTTGGGAAAGTATGCCGGGTTTAACGGGACGTACAGCGCGCGTGCGATGCGGGCGAGAGCAGCGACCAAGTATAGTGGTGACTTTAGCGGTGGTACTCTGGGGAGCTACAAGATCGGTCTATAATCTTTGTCGCGACCAGGGATGATGACCTTAAAGTTGCGGGTGCTAAGGGAACGGAGGCATGTATCATGTCAGCGATGCTCTCCTGCCTCATCTCGCCCTCAACTTATAGCGCAACAGATGAACATGGTCAACTTCTGTCCTAGCCTCGGTCAACAAAGGGTCCCTCGATTGCATTCTGGCTCGGGAACACCAAATGACTGCAAATGGAACACATCTTTTCAAGCGAATAGCTTGAGTCTCCCGAAACTTTTCAGAACTCAATTCTGTATGGGCCTCGCCTTATTTCTGTCCCCCCCCTGCGCAGGCAAGCTAGTGGGCACTCCGCATCCACTTACAAGACCCTAACCCTGGGTGCAAGTCTTGGTACTGGTGTAAGTCTGGCCTGTAGTAGTATATACATGTGTATCGACATCATTGATGGCATCACGCAATGAGCGGCTTCCTCGCGAAACCAAGTCTGGAATTCTCATCATCAAAGACCACAAAAAGTGACTTCAGAAACGTGATTCCGTAGATGGAGAGGTTGAGCCCGGCATTACTCTGCAGACTGCCGTAGCAGAGATCCGGATCATAACCCGTCTGGCCAAACTCGAGGTAAGACGGCGGTACGGTCGCGACGAAACGATCGCCCAACCGGACGCCAAAGTCAGGCAGCTCGGCACCGCACGGGAAGACCCACAGCTGCTCCGTGGCGTTGTACGACGCGGCCGGCACGAGGGCGTAGAAGGTGCTCAGCAGGATGTCATCGATGATCATGAGGGACGACCCGCTGTCGGCGATGCAGAGCACGGACGAGTTCGCGGGCGGGTCGACCTGGCGCCCGGCCACGGTGAAGCCGGTGCCGTTGAAGCCCCATGCCCCCTGGTGTGTCACCGAGGTCGGCAGATATTCCACCTTGCCCGTGTGCTTGGAGTGGTCGACGAAGCCGATGTCCAGAGTGCTGCTGTCGTTGTGTCTTAGGTCCAAGGTGAAGAGGCCGTGCTTCAGCGTGCCTTTGATGTTGTCGAACCATGTCTTCTGGGGCTGTGGTTTAACTGTCGTTACATGTGTGCTGTTAGCCGTTTGGTTTCGTTCTGGGGCCAGAACTGCTGTCACATCAACACTCACCTTTATTTCTCTGGGAGAAACCAAAGCCGATGATCCCGTCTGCTCTGGGACTTCCGTAGAAGTCGATGCTGACATTGGTGGCCGTCTCAACCGCCTGTGATAGCGATGGAATCCCCGCCACCGACACAACGTCGGTTACGACGTTGCCTTGTGATGTACTGCCGTCACCGTAACGGACAGCCCAAGTTGCGTTTGGCATTGGCTTGGACGTCGAGCTGAGGCTGGGATCG